ATTGGTTGAGCCCATTTGTTGGGCCCAAGGACTTTCTGGTTGACTTATTTCGCATTGTTTCATATTGGGTAAACAGAAACTATTTCAGTTCCAGGAACTGAACCTGAGGTCTAGCTGATTTTTCTGTTTTCTTTTTTTTTGCTTTTTGGGTCACACCCGGGGATGCACAGGGGTTACTCCTGGCTTTGCACTCAGGAATTACTCCTGGCGGTACTCGGGGGACCATATAGGATGCTGGGAATCGAATCCGGGTCGGCCGTGTGCATGGCAAACGCCCTACCCGCTGTTGATTTTTCTTATTTTTGCTGCCTGTCATGGTGTTGCCATTGCTTATTGTGTGGCTCATCTCTTCAAGGCCAGACAGAGAGAAAGCCTGAGAATAAAGCACTAGACTTGCGCTCTGCTGACTCACATTCCAGCCTTGGCAGCGCTGAGGGTCCCCTCGGCAAGACTTGTGCTGGCATGAGCTGCAAGTGAACAGAGAAAGAGACAGTTTAGGATAGAATAGTGAGTTTATAAGAGGCTCAGAGCTAAGGACTCCAAGTCAGAAGAGACACTTGCAGCCCTGCTTGCTGAGAGGGTCTCCCTTTTATCCTCTAAAGGTGGGCTACAATCTAAGTACATTTTTTTTTACGTTTTTGGGTCACACCCGGCAATGCTCAGGGGTTACTTCTGGCTCTGCATTCAGGAATTACTCCTGGCGGTGCTCAGGGGACCATATGGGATGCTGGGATTCAAACCTGGGTCTGCCGTGTGCAAGGCAAACGCCCTACCCACTGTGCTATTGCTCCAGCCCCTCTGAATACATGCTTAGGGTGAAACAGGAGATACAGAGGTAATAAGTAAGAGAAAAACAATCCATGCATCGTTCCCACATGGTATGGACTTCAGGTGTTCAAAGAAAAACAGTCAGTGTCAGTATCTCTTGCCCATTTATGGTGCAGCCTTCCGGTGCCATCTCCCGGACACTCCCATAAACCTGGTGGGACCAGTGTGCTCCCATCAATCTGGTGAGACCAGTGTGCTCCCATCAATCTGGTGGGCTGGTAGGTCCTTAATGCGGTTAATTAGGGTCATGAAATAAATGCTTCTCCCTCCCTTCTCTTGTTTAAGAGGTCAGTTTTAGTTTCTCAGTTCTCAACATCTTTTATTAAATTTCACGAGAGTTTCATAATTCTCATTATACACAGCTTATTTGTCATTACAAGACCAGGAGTGATCCCCGAGCAAAGCAGGATATGGCACCCCCCCAAACCAAAACTACAATAACTTCTTCAAAGTCTGTATCACTGTGTCACTGTCATCCCATTGTTCATCGATTTACTTGAGCGGGTGCCAGTAATGTCTCTATTCCTCCCAGCCCTGAGATTTTAGCAGCCTCTTCTTACTTGTCTTTTCCCAAAGATTGGAGGCTCTTTCAGGGTCAGGGGAATGAGACTGTTATTGTTACTGGTTTTGGCATATTGAATACGCCATAGGGAGCTTGCCAGGTTCTGCCCACGCGGGCGGGATACTCTCGGTAGCTTGCTGGGCTCTCCGAGAGGCATATATGTATATATTTCTCTCTATGATTTATTCCCTACTGGCTGAACCCCATAAACATGGTGTGGTAATTATGAAAAAAGAGTAGGAAGTTGTGTAAACTCACACAAAGGGGGCACGGCACACAGCGGCGGTGGCTCTATCTCTCCCGCCGCCCGCGTTCGGTAGTCTCACCCTTCTCCCACCCCGAGGAGGTCTATGGCGATGGTCAGGCGGAGGAAGGAAACGAGGGCAGGCTGGTTGGTATTAGTCGCAGTTTATTCTAATCCTCTCTCCATCTACACCAGTCTCCCTTCTCTGCCTGCCTCTGCTGCCTCCTCTCCTTCTTCCTCCCCCATGCTACTTCATTCTCCTTCTCCATCCCTTCTTCCTCCTTCTCTTCCTTCTGATCTCTGCTTCTTCCTTCTGATCCCCTTCTGAACCCCCAGCCCACTCTTGCAGTCTCATTATATCTCTCTCCATGAGGAATTGGGGGAACAATTACACATAGGTGCAGTCACAATCAATAGGGGTAGAAATCTTAGCCCTCCTTTCTCAGCAGGACGACCCACCCTAGAGCGGAATCCCAAGGGTGTGTTTCTCCTCTCCTTGTCCGACATGCATATAATATATAATATAAATCATTTTGTATGGATACAGTAAGAAATCGTCATATTGGGTACGCCACGGGGAGTTTTACCCAATATGCCAAATACCAGTAACAATGATGGGTCTCATTCTCCTAAAGAGCCTTGAATATAACCTCAGGGCCAGGATGAAGGAGACGTTACTGGGGCCTGCTCAAGGCAATCGACGAATAACAGGATGATTTGTGATTTGTGATTGTGACAGTAAGAAATATCTTAAGCTTATAGAATTGCTCTCCGAGGGCCATCTCGATCTAAGACTACAGTGCTCAGGCCAGATAGTCTTTCCCACCCCTAGCAGGATCCTAGTCTCGTTGTTACTTTTGGATCATGACAGCATTTGTCTATGATCAAACTCTTAACGTATAGTTAAGAATCATGGCACTTTGGCCTGGCCCATTTCGATGCCAGGGTAGCTCACCGCTTGCCCTGGGTCCATTCAGTCCCTTGTCGAGACCCTGCTTTGGGGTGTTAGGAACTAAGGACAACTGAGGCTTAAGTCGAGAAAGCAGATGCCCGGGAGTGAATAATATTCAAAGCCAATCAAATCCTAAGTTACAAAGCATAATGTTAACCGTCTTCCTGTATCTATACAAAAAGGGAATTCCTTTAAAGTAAACTGTTCATAAGGCATAAGGAGAGGAGAAAGGCAATATTTCACTCATATATATAAAATCATAGATTTCTGGGAAATCTAACCTTACAAATTAACAGAGTCTGATAGGGGGAAAGCTGATTAACTGGGTGGGGAGGAGAGCATAGGGAAGACTGTTTACAGATAAACACAATGGAGTGGAAGTGCCTCAGGAGCACTGTGATGGGTATAACCAGATAAACCTAAATTTCTTGTGGAAGGACAAAGCAATGTCACCCTACAGGAAGTGTCTTATCATGTGTCTTGTGGCTACAAAGCGGCCACGCCATCTGGAAAGTGGCCTGGAGCATCGTGGTGTTTGGCTAGTGGAGATTGGCTACTGGGGCTGAGTCCCTTGGGGTGGGGAGGGCTCTCACCCGCCCCACTCTGGGGTGCCCCAAGTGAAAACAGCCTGGAGCGGAGTCTAAGTCTAAGAAGAAAAAAATTAAAAATCAGGGGTCAGAAGGAAGGTACTTGCTTAGCACATGGCCAACCCTGGTTCGATCCCTGGCACCTTACAGGGTTTCCTGAACCTGCCAGGTGTGATCCCTGAGCCTAATACCAGATATAAGCCCTGAGAACCACAAGGTGTGAGCCCAAGACAAAAACTAACCAAACAAGCAAGCAAAAAATAAAGACAAAAATATTTAGGCCAGGGCTGGAGTGAGAGTACAGTGGGTAGGGTGTTTGCTTTGCATGCAGCCGATCTGGGTTGAATCCCCGGCATCCCATATGGTCCCCCAAGCACCACCAGGAGTAATTCCTGGGTGCGGAGCCAGGAGTAACCCCTGAGCACCGCCGAGTGTGACCCAAAAAATTAAATTAAATAAATTAAATAACCCAAGTTCTGATCCCTGGCATCCCACAAAGTCCCCTGAGCACCAGAAGGAGTGATCCCTGAGCACAGAGCCAGGAATAAACCCTGAGCACCACCAGGTATGGCCTAAAATAAACAAGTAAATCAATAAAAGGCTCCTCCTTTAGGGACTAGAGCGATAACAAAGTGGGTAAGGCACTTGCCTTGAACACCACTGACCCAGATGTGATCCCTGTCACCCCATATGGTTCCCCAAATTCCACCAGGTATGATTCCTGAGTGCAGAGCAATAATTAAGCCCCTGAACACTTTGGGGTATTGGCCCACAACCAAACAAATAAACAGCAATAAAAATCTCCTCTCTGGAGAACAAAAGGGAATGCCCTGCCACAGAGGCAGAGTGAGATGGGGGGTGGTAGGGATACTGGGGCCCGTGGTGGTGGAAAATGGGCACTGGTGGAGGGATGGGTACTTGACCATTGTATAACTAAAACCCAAGCATAAAAATTTGTAGGTCTACAACTGTACCTCATGGTGTTTCACTAATAAAAATTAAAAAAAAATATCTCTGAGGCCAGCGCCATAGTTCAGCAGGTAGGGCACTTGCCTTGCACACAACCCACCTGGGTTCGCTCCCTGGCATCCCATATGGTCCCTTGGGCACCACCAGCAGTAATTCCTGAGTGCAGAGCCAGGAGTAACCCCTGAGCAAACTGGGTGTGACCCAAAAAAGCAAAATAAATAAATAAAAATATTTTAAAAAATTCAATCACAATCACAACCATCCTGTTATTCGTCGATTGCCTCGAGCAGGCCCCAGTAACGTCTCCTTCATCCTAGCCCTGAGATTTTTTTTTAAAAAGTGCCATATTCAAGGCTCTTTCAGAGTTAGGAGAATGAGACCCTTCATTGTTACTGGCATTTGGCATATTGGGTACGCCACGGGGAGTTTGCCAGACTCTGCAAATTTTTAAAAAAATTAAAATCTCCTCTCTGATATGAATTTCTGAGATTACAAACACTTGGGGATTGAAGGAGAGTTTGCAGACAGTCTCACGTACACACATTTGTTTTTGTCATTATGCACCCCCTGTTCATGATATGAAGACCAGGCCCCAGATTCACCATGGGTGACACAGAACATGCTTTATTCCGGCAGGGGTTCCATCACATACAGCAAGATCTGAGGACCCGCAGCCACAGTCCAGCGGGGAAGACGTTTGCCTGGTGCGTGGTCCATCTGGGCTCCGTCCCCGGCGTGTCCTTAGGTCCCTGAGCATGGATCTGGGAGCCGGCCCTGAGTATCAGGTGTACCCCGAAACAAAAACAAACAAGCCACAAAGCAATCCAAGCAGCTGAGAAAGGAGACATGACTCACGTCTCACAGGCCACAGCCTTTGGTTTTCTGGTGACGGGAAAGGTGTGCGGACCGGGTGAAGAATTTGCCACAGTCCCTGCAGCCGTAGGGTTTTTCTCCGCTGTGCGACCGCAGGTGCCTTTTCAGGATGGAAGGCGAAAGGAAGGCTTTCCCACACTCCTCACACACGTGGGTCCGCTCCCCGCGGTGGCTCTGGATGTGCTCCCGCAGGTGCGATGCTTTCCTGAACCGTTTCCCGCACTCCTCGCACGCGTGGGGCCGCTCCCCGCTGTGCGTGTACCGGTGCTCCTTGATGTACGTGGCTCCGAACCGCTTCCCGCACTCCTTGCACTTATAGAGCCTCCTGCGGTCGTGGGTCAGCATGTGTCTTTTGAGGTGTGCCAAGGTCATGAAGGACAAGCCACACTTCTGGCACTTGTGGGGTCTGGGCCCCGTGTGGGTCTGCTCGTGCACGCGGAGGTAGCAACTGGACTTATAGGACTTCCCACAGATGTCACACGAGGACTTGGCTCCGGAGCGGGCCCTTCTGGGCTTAGCGGGGTGTGGAGGTGATGCTGGCTGCTCCGGGTCAGAATTCTCTGCGGTGAAAGCCTGGGTGGGGGCAGAGCCCTCCCCACACGCCTTACACTTAGGTTTCTCTCTGTGGGGGGCGCCTGGGCTCCCCTGAAGGCCTGCGGAACTTTTCAAGTGTTTGCCGCATTCCTTGCATTTAGATGGTTTCTCTTTGCTCCAGGTTTGCCTGGGCATCCTCAGGCCTGACAAACCGTTGGTCGAGTGTTTTCTGCACTCTTTGGGATAAGGGAGCTTCCCTCCAGCCCCCGTTCTGCTGCCTGAGCGAGATTTGGTTGACTGCATGGAGGGTTTCTTGGTGGAGGAGCAACTCGGAGGAAGGATGCTTTCATGCTGAGTGCTGATTGGTGTATTCGTATAGGACTCTCCCCTGAAGTCTTTTTCATGTTTCACATCACGATTGACGTTCCACCCATCCTGGCCCCCTTCCTGCTGGAGAATAAAGAAGTATTCAAACTGGGCCAAGAGGGGCCTGAGCGATAGGGCAGTGAGGAGGGCGCTGGCCTTGCAGGCAACTGACCCGAGTTCAATCCCCGGCATCCCAGTGGGTTCCCCAAGCACCACCAGGTATAATTCCTGAGCCCAAACTCTGCCCCCCCCCCCCCATCAAAAAAGGAATTCTTGGGTTCATTCTCTATCTAATGAAAATGTCAACATTTCTATAACATGGAAAACAAGAAATATCTGTTGATACTTACTGATTTTTCTATCCGGAACCTATGGAATGTTTTCTTTCCAAAATTCATCTGAGGAAACGGTGAATGCTGGTTTCTAAGTTGTAGTTCCCGTTCTAAGAAAAGCAGAGTAAGAAATATGAGAAAAGACATGAAGGGCATGTTTGTTTAATGAGATTTTTTTTTTTTAAGTGTGAGGGGCTGGACAACAGGAGGGCATTTGCCTTGCACATGGCTAACTTGGGTTCAGTCCCCAGCATCCCATATAGTCCCCCGAGTACCGCCAGGAGTAATTCCTGCTCCTGAGTGCAGTGCCAGGAGTAACCCCTGAGCACTGCCGGGTGTGTCGGGTGTGAATCCAAAATTTAAAAAGTGATATCTGGGGACCAAGCCATAGTATTGCAGGGAGGGTGTATGTATTGCACATGGCTGACCCAGACTGACCCCAGCACCCTATATAGTCCCCTGAACCCAGCCAGGCATAGTTCCTGAACTCAGAGCAGGAGTAAGCCCTGAACACCACCAGGTGTGACCCTAAAACAAAAATATTAAAAAACATTCTTTGAGTAACGCATACCTGCACCTCTGACTATGTCACAGGGCTCAGTCCATGACCCCACTCCTGCTGAAAAGACTTTAGGTGGGAAGAGCGTCTGTCTTAGTCCCTCTGTTTCTCTGAGACATCACCCCTTGGGAATCCAGGGTGAGCACACCCCTAGTCTGTCGCAGGAAAGGCAACAGGAGTGACGGCTGTCCTCACCGACTGTCCTCAGGTGCTGGAACGTCTCCAGCATCACGTCCCTGTAGAGATTTCTCTGCGAAGTGTCCAGCAGCGCCCACTCCTCTTGGGTGAAGTTCACAGTCACATCGGTGAAGGTCACCATGTCCTGAAGCATCACACACATGTTGGATTGAGGTCAGTGGCATCCCTACCAGAGTTCACCTGGACTGGGGGGTGAGAGCCATAGCACGGCCAGGAGGGCACTGGTATTGCATGCTGCCAACCTGGGTTTGAGCCCTGACACCACATATGGTCCCCTGAACCCTGCTGTTAGGGCCTGCTTAGCTGAAGTACTGCTATGACAGGCTGTGTGACCTCTGGGCAGCCTAGGTCTCTTCTAGGAACAGGTACTAACTCACTTCTGGTAAACAAGGTGGGGAGGTCACGGGCTGTCGAAACTGATGGTTGTCAAAGATTAGGGCCCCGGACTAAGATTAGGTCTCCTGAACTAACTGTCAAGATATGGGCTGGATGTTGTGGACCAAAATTATGTACTCTATAGGTAAAGGAAAATTGCTGAGTAATGTATGCTTCCTAAAATGAAAGTATAAAAACTCAATGAATCTAGTGCTCGGGGTCCTTGTAGAAACCCACTGTTCCGGGCAGATACTTGGACCCCAGCTAGCTGGAAATAAACCTCTCTGTGTGACTTGCCTTGTCGTGTGCATTCTCTGTCTCTTGCAGGGTGGTCGACTCTGGAACCTAACATGGACACAAGTAACTCCAGGTATGGACCCAAAACAAAACAAATAAAGATTCGGACCAGAGTGATAGTACAGCAGGGAGGGTGCTTGCCTTGCACGTGGTCAGCCCAGGCTTAATCCCTTGCATCCCATAAGGTCCCTTGAGCCCAGCCAGGAGGGATCAATAATTTCAGAGCCAGGTATAGTCGAAAAATATACACATACAAAAAAGTTAAACAACATTCTTTGAGAAAGGCACATCTGCATCTTCGATGATGTCATACAGCCAGCAAAATAAAACAGGAAGAGGCATCAGCAGAGACAGCAGCGGAGCTACTGACAGAAACATGGAGATGGTGCGAGGGACCCCTCAGGGTCCCCCGTGGGAAGAAACATCACAGGGACAGGGTGAATTTGTTTCTATCTGGAAAGTGGAGTCTGGAGGCTGGAGCAATAGCATAGCAGGTAGAGTGTTTGCCTTGCATGCAACTAACCTGGCTACGATTCCCAGCATCCCATATGGTGCCCTGAGCACTGCCAGGAGTAATTCCTGAGTGCAGAGCCAGGAATAACCCCTGTGCATCGCCAGGTGTGACCTCCCACTCCCCCCCCCCCCAAAAAAAGGGGAAAAAAAAGGAAACTGGAGTCAGAGCTGCTGAGAAGGATGTGGGCAGGTGGTGGGATATAAGGGGACATGTGTGGTGCCGTTTCCTTCTTACCTGAGGACAAGTGGTCACCATCCTGCCTGTCTGCCTCTGTGTTCTCCTGAGGAAGTCCCAAAGGCTCTTTAGGGAAAACACCTGGAGGGAAATTAACAAGGTGTGAGGAACTGAATCCTTAGTACAGCTAATCAAGTGCTTGCCTCTCACACAGCAGACCAGGGTTGGACCCTCAGTACCCCATAGGGTCCCCTGAGCACCCCTGAGCACCAGGAGTAATCCCTGAGCACAGAGCCAGGGCGTGGCCTGAGCACATCAGGGTGTGGCCCCCAAATTAAGAAAAACAAAGCCTATGGGCCAGAGCGATAGTACAGTTGGTAAGGTGTTTGCTTTGCACAGTTGACCCAGGTTTGATCCCCGATATCCCATATGGCCCCCTGAGCACCTTGAGGAGTAACCCCTGAATATCGCCACGTGTGAAAACAAACAAAAAACAACCAAAGCCTGCGTTCCTAGTGCTAGTCCTAACTCTCATATCCCCAGGCTTGAAATCAACACATTCTAGCTTGAAGTGACCAACTATGTCCCCATACTTGGGTATGTGTGAACACACAAAATGCCAGAATCCTATTTCATCAGGAAGTGGAAAAAGAAATTATGGAACAGGGGCTCAAGCAATAGTACAGCGGGTAGGTGGTTGCCTTGCACACGGCCAACCCGGGTTCAATCCCCTGCATCCCATATGATACCCCAAGCATCGCCAGGAATAATTCCTGAGTGCAGAGCCAGGAGTAACCCCTGAGCATCTCTGAGTCTGACCAAAAAAGCAAAAAAAAAAAAAAGAAATTATGGCCATTTTGCCCAGCAGAGTTAGGATTCATGCCAGAGGAATGTGATTCCACTAGATAAGGCTGAGCCCACAGGAATCCCTGAGCACTGCAGAGCATCCGTCCCGACCCCTGCAATAAAAAGGAAGGAGAAACTCCTCATACTTTCATTCCACGAGCAACGACGATGCGAATCAGAAGTTTTAATATCCAGTTCCAGGGAAAAGAATACAGAACGCAGAGGCAAGGGTAGTAGTTCTCTCCAGGGCTTCAAGGTGGTTATAACTAAGGGCTAGGGAGGAAGTGAGTGTCAGTTAATCCAACACACATATGTGATGTGATTGGCCATCGGACACGTGACTTGATTGGCGTGGAGCCAAAGACAGCAGAAATAATATTAAAGGGGCAGGGCTACGGGCATCTAAAACCCAGGTCTGTGTGAAGTGGGTGGTGGTGTGAGAATGAGATGCGGGAGCTGTGAGTACTATGTGCCTCGGTAACTGGACAAGGGCAGCAGAGTGTTGAGGAGGGAAAGAGTGATGGCAATCTGGGGTCCTGCCCAGCTATAGAAGCCCCTACTGGGGCTGGAGATCGCACAGTGGGTAGGGCATTTGCCTTCCACGCAGCCAACCCCAATTCAATTCCCGGCATCCCATATGGTTCCCTGAGCGCGGCCAGGAGTGATTCCTGAGTGCATGAGCCAGGAGTAACCCTTGTGCATCGCCAGCTGTGACCCAAAAAGCAAAAAAAAAAAAAAAAAAAAAGCTCCTATTTCTTCAGCTGCTGTAGCCGTAGCCTGCAGAGATATACCCACATATACTCCTGTGACATAAATACCTATTTATTATTTTTAAAAGCGATTAGTAGACAGGCCAGAGCGATAGCACAGCAGGGAGGGTGCTTGTCTTGCACACAGCCAACCAGGTTCGATCCCCGGCAACCCATGTGGTCCCCTGAGCACCGGCCAGGAGTCATTCCTGAGCAACCCCTGAGCATCGCTGGAAGTGATCCAAAAGGCCAGAATTTAAAGTCATAATACAGAAGACCTGTAATGGCTGGTTGTAGCTGGGGGTGTGGGGCGTTGTTTGGTTTAAGGGCCACACCCGGTGGTGCTCGGGGCGATTCCTGGCTCTACTCAGGAGTTTCTGGCTGGTCTCAGGGGGGCGATGGGGGGAGGGGGGGTGCCAGGATCAAACCCGGGTCAGCTGCAGCCTTACCTGTTAGGGTCCATGATCTAAGGAACGAGTGCAACACAAATGTGAAAGTTCGGCAGAGCTTTATTTCGTGCCCAACACCTGATGGATGGGGGCAGGCTCCCCAGAGGGCTCCCCCACGGCTCCGAGTCCCTTTCACACCCGGAAACCCGGCTGCCAAGCAACCGATTTCCTGTTGCCGGGCCTCGGGCCAGCTCGGGACTGGCTTCCTTTTCCAGGGTCAGTCACCTCCTCCTCTCCCCTTACGGGTCCCCCAAGCTGGGGTTGGCAGTTCTTTCAGCTAGGTCGGCCCTAACATTCCCCGCTGGACTGCCGTTCCGGCCCCCAGACTCGGCTCGGGCTGGCCTTGGAGGCAGATTCCACCGAGCCGGTTACTGCAGGTTGCCCCTGCAACACTCCCAGCGGCCCCTCGTGCCGCCGTTTCCCAGGCCCAACCCCCCCGATCGCGCCCCACCCCCAGTCCCGGGCGCCCCCTTCAGGCCACCCCGCTACCTTGCCTCCCTATTGTTCTTGGGCCCGTCCACGCGGCCAAGGACTCCGGAACCGGTAGTGCGGGGAGGGGCAGCCGTCAAATCCTTCCCCTCGGCGAAGCCGAACGCTAAGGAACTGCAGTTCCGGGGACCCGGAGAACGCCCCAGGATGAGGCCCGCGGAAGACAGAGGAGCGGACACGGCCGGGAAAGGCCCGGGGCACGCCCACTAACGGGCGTGTCGATGACGTGGCCACGCCCCCTCCGGCCCGGGGACTTGGGAAACGCTCCGCCCACTGCCCGTTGCTCCACTGTAATGTCCCTCCAGAGACCCAGCGCTGACGAACCCCCTGAGCTGCAGGAGGCACATTATTAGGAAGCCTCATTCTCTATATTTTTCTCCTTTGATCTTTGACCCACACCCAACAGTTCTCAAGGTTTATTCCAGGCTCAGCAGGAGGGATCATTCCTGGAGATGCTCAGGGGGACCATATGTTGGTGCTGTGCCAGGTCACACCCCTGCCAGGGCCCTCACTCCAGCAACCCAAGAGAGAAGGATGAAAAAGACTTTGGGGTCCACCTGAGGGTTTCTTCTACATTAATCTTTTCGTTTTGTTTTGGCTTGGGGGTCCACATCTGGCAGTGCCCAGAGCTTACTCGTGACTCCTCTCAGGAATTACCCCTGGTGGTGCTCAGGGGACCAGAAAGGATGCAGGAGATCAAACCCAGGTCCACAGCACGCAAGGCAAATGCCCTACCGGCTGTACCATGGCTCTCGCTCCTCATTTCTTTTTTCCTTTTTTCTCAGTATAAGGTTGTTCCTGCAGCACTGTCCTCCTGTTGTTCATGGATTTGCTCAAGCAGGCACCAGTAACGTCTCCATTGTGAGACTTGTTGTTACTGTTTTTGGCATGTCGAATATGCCACGGGGAGCTAGTTCCTAGCTTGAAGATTGTTCCTAGGACTAAAAAATAAAAAGTAAAGATAAAAAGTGGGGCTGGAGCGATAGTACAGCAGGGAGGGCATTTGCCTTGCACGCGGCTGACCCAGGTTCAATCCCTGGCATCCCATATGGTCCCCCAGCACCGCCAGTTGCAATTCCTGATTGTACAGCCAGGAGTAACCCCTGAGTATCACTGGATGTGACCCAAAAAGCAAAAACAAATTATTTAAAACCCGCCAAGCTTTAAAAAAAGAAAAAAGTGGGGCTGGAGCAATAGCACAGCGGGTAGGGCGGTTCGGTTCCCAGCATCCCATCTGAGCCCCTGAGAACTGCCAAGGGTAATTCCTGAGTGCATGAGCCAGGAGTAACCCCTGTGCATCACCGGGTGTGACCCAAAAAGAAAAAAAAAGTGTTGTTGGATTATTATATGTATGAAATTAACAGTAACAGTATTGTAAAGTCAGTGGGCTAGAGCAATAGCACAGCGGTAGGGCGTTTGCCTTGCACGCAGCCAACATGGCCGACCTGAGTTCGATTCCTCCGCCCATCTCGGAGAGCCCGGCAAGCTACCGAGAGTATCTTGCCCGCACGGCAGAACCTGGCAAGCTACCCCTGATGTATTCGATATGCCAAACACAGTAACAACAAGTCTCATGACGGACACGTTAATGGGCTCACTCGAGCAAATCGATGAACACGGGAGGACCGGACCGTAAAGTCAGTATTGTAAAAACAATACTCTAAATCAGGATGGGTGTCTGAAGTTATAAAAATAAACTTTGGGGTACAAGTGATAGTACAGCAGGTAGGGCACTGCCCTTGCACGCTGCCAAACCCAGGTTCTACCTCCTGTACATGGTCCCCAAATCCTCCAGGAGTGACCTCTAAGTGCAGACCCAAGAGTAAGACTTGAGCACTGCTGGGTGTGGTCCAAAAATAATGTAGCTGACTGTATGCCCATGCTTTGCTCCTGTCGTCGTTTGCAGGGAAAAAAATGGGCTGCGGCCCTTTCAGTGAAGATTTTTCTTTTTTTTTTCTATTTTTAACTGGGCTTGGGAATCCCTGGTGCGCCCACATTCGGTGAAATACGGTACAGGATGTGCCCAGTCCCTCCCAGCCCAGAAGGGACCCGGCAGGGGGTGGGGGGTCCATCTGGTGCACTCACCCTCGGGCTCTGGGCGACTCCGGGCTCTTCCAGTCTCTCAGCCACACTCCAGAGTCACGCACAAACATGCACGCGGGCGTCCCGCCTTGGGCTGCCCCGCAGCTCCCTCCTTCCTGCCTCCGTGCGTGCCGGGATTGCCGACTCCCAAGCGGCTGCTCTAGCACCTTCTCCTTTCCTGCACCCCCGGTAGCCAGGGAGGGAATCTGCAAAACTCTTTGGTTGTATTTATGGCCATTAGGGTCCGGGATCCAAAGACTACACAAAGCAATGAGCTTCCCTGTTGGCAATCGTCTAAGGGGACTTTCTGCTACTTGTTACTTGCTGATTGGCTGAGGGTCGAGGTTACATAACAGGAACTGGCTTCGTTGTTGCCTATCATGGGGAGGGGGGACCGAAACCTAGGCCTAGATGGGCCGAGTTCTTTACTAAGCATGGCGCTGCCTGGGCCTTGCCTCTCTCTCTTTCGTTTCCCCCTTCTCTTATATGGCAACGGTTGAGAAGGGTCAACCTTGACCCTAGAGCTGGTTGAGGGGGGAGTATTGACTCCTAATGTGCCGGAGTTTTGGATCCCCAGTCCCGGTAAAACCAAGTCCGCACACAATAAGGCAAAAGCAAAGGTACTTTATTGCTAGCTCGAGCTAGTGTCCAAGTCTCATCCAACGCGGTGGAGTCTTGACAAGGACCCTGACTCCAAATCACAAGCAGTTTATATAGGTTTCAAAGTTAAGAAGCGGTTTATATACTCGTCTATTTTTAGCATTGGCCCTGTTGCAACAGTGGTCAGCAATTTTCTCGAGGAGGCCAAACCCAACTGACCAGTTTCTTATCTAGGCAAATTACTCAGCTGGGAGTCTACCAGAAACTGCAAGTTCTTCTTTGGGGAAAAAGAATCTGAGGCCTAGTTGAAACTTAATGTTAGCTGCAGCCTGTCATGACGTCAGTTTCGCTCTTACACTAGGTAAGAACCAAGAGCTGGATGGTGTTGAAGCCTTCTTTCACAAATGCCCAACATTAAAGCAAGTAGGAGCCATAGCAAGACCAGTCATGGAAGCTATTAGGGCGATGAGCCAGGGTGACCAATCTTTTCCATGAAACACAATTCAGGAGGACTGGACTGAATAAAGTAGAAAGGGGATAAGCAAGGGATTAGGCCAGGTGCAAACAAACCAAGTATTGAGTGCTCTGCTAGCTGACCTGTGGGGGGCCACTCTGCATTGTAGTTACAAAAGGCTCAGTAGGTTCCTGAACAAACACAAGCCCCATCGTGGGCCATAGGTCAAGGTTAAACTGTGGAGCCTCCATCCCTTTCTGAGTGGCGTTGGCTATAATTCTACGAGTCTGGGTACCAGAAAGGACCCAGCACCAAAACTTGGGCACATAAGGAGCTTGCTCCACAGCTGTCACGATGAGCAAGCAGAAGCAGAGAATAACCCATGCCCCTCCCATGGTTCCCTTAAGTCACTTTTCCAGTCTTACCTGAGGGGTTCGCCACTGGTCGGGTGTCATCCTGTCTTCAAGGAGGGAGGCAATTTTCTTTCATTCTTTTTTTTTTTTCCTTTTTGGGTCACACCCAGCGATGCACAGGGGTTTCTCCTGGCTCTGCACTCAGGAATTACTCCTGGCAGTGCTGGGGGACCATATGGGATGCCAGGGATCGAACCTGGGTTGGCTGCGTGCAAGGCAAACACCCTACCACTGTGCTATCACACTGGGAGGCAATTTTCACGTGTGAAGTGTGGACCCAGACTTTGCTTCCATCCATCTTCAGAGTGGTGGGTGTGGTCAGGATTACGGTGTAGAGCCTCTCCATGGAGGTTAAAGGGTGGCAGTCTTATGTCACCAGCCCCAGACCAAGTCTCCTGGCGAGTACAGGTGGGGGGTTAGCGACTCCCCCTCACTCTGGTGATGTGCCCCAAGCCCTGCATGGAGCTGGGCCTGGATACCTGTAGGGCCTGTAATGAGCGGAGAGGGGAGTGATCCTACATTTCTGCATGCACCTCCTCTTTTAGGCTAAATTGGAAGGTGGTAGTGGACCAAAAGGAGTTTCAAAGGGAGTGAAGTTCTTCCAGTGTGGGGGGGGAGGGGGCTCACTCACACCTGCAATAGGCCAAATGGGAGAAATTGAAGGTTCTTCTGCGGGGGCCTCCTTAATCTACCTACCTACATCATACCCCCCTACAGATTGCACGACCTTAAATCTTCAAAGGGAGAGATAATATCATCATCAGTCACTGTCTCATCACATGGCTACTTCTCCCGGTAGGGAGCATAACATGAGGTCCCCATAGCTATGCCACTGGACTCCGCGCCAGGCTACACACGGGGCACCCCAGAAGGGGACGAGTGAGAGCCCAGGGGCCCAGCTCTGGTAGCCAAACACATCCAGAACCCAACCACCGCCACGCTCAAGGTCGCTCCCACACGCTTGGGTGAGCCTCATATATCACTTAAATGTTGTTCAAGCGGGCGCCAGTAACGTCTCCATTTGTCCCTGTCGCATGCTAGTGTAGCCCAATGGCATCTGTTTGCTCCGGGAACATGAAGGGTCTCAAACCGATCGTTCAATGATCTTGACGAAGAAGTCTGACCATCTGGTAGGTGGGCGGTCACGCGGTCTTTTGACATCCCGTGGAATCCAGTCGGTAACAGCTCTAGTCCAGCGGTCGTCTTTAAATCCCATTACGTGACCAGCCCATCTGATTTTCGACACCTTGGCAAATGAGACAGCGTCCCTGATTCTTGATCGTCGACGGATGTCAGAACTCCGGATTCTTTCTCTCATTTGAGTGAAACGTGATATTCCAAGCATAGCTCTTTCTATTCTTCTTTGGGAGACCTGAATAGCGTTCTCATCTTGTTTGCGTAGGGCCCAGGTCTCTGAGGCATATGTTAATGCAGGAAGAACAGTGGAATCAAAGAGATGTGCCCGGAGCCGGAGGTTCTTCATCCTCTTAGCTATTTCTTCGACGTTCTTGAAGGCGTTCCAAGCCGCTCTCTTCCTCCTGCGCAGCTCAGGTGCCAGGTCATTTGTCATGTTGACTTCTCGACCTAGGTACACATAGCTGTTGCATTCAGAGATGGTTGTTCCGTTGAGAGTGAATGGGGCATCAGGAACGAGGCTGTTTCTCATAAACATCGTCTTAGTAAGATTCAGCTGTAGTCCTACCTTTCCACACTCACGGTCAAAGTCGGCCAGCATTTGTGCCGCTTGGCTGATGTTTGGTGTTATTAAAACAATGTCATCAGCAAAGCGGAGGTGGTGTAGTTGCCGACCATCTATCTTCACTCCCATTCCTTCCCATTCTAGTCGTCGCATGATGTTCTCGAGGGTGGCACTGAAGAGTTTCGGTGAAATGGTATCACCCTGCCGCACCCCTCTCTTGACATCAACGATCACTTCTTTGTAGAATGGTGAGATCCTGGTAGTGAATCCGCAATACAGCTCATGGAGGATCCTGATGTATTGGGCTTGAATGCCCTGATTGGCTAGGGCTTCAATGACCGCTTCCGTCTCAACAGAATCAAAGGCCTTCTTTAAATCAATGAACGTTAAACAGAGCGGCATCTTGAACTCCCAAGAAACCTCAATGAGCTTGGTTATCGTGTGGATATGGTCGATGGTGCTGAATCCTTTGCGGAACCCGGCTTGCTCGCATGGTTGTCCTTCATCTAGTGTTCTGCCAATCCTATTTAGGATGACTCGAGTGAACAACTTGTAGATGACAGACAATAGGCAGATCGGGCGATAGTTGCCAATGTCATGGATGTCTCCCTTCTTGAACAGTAGTACGGTCCTGCTGGTTTTCCATTGGGACGGAACCTTGCATTCAGACAGGTAGCGAATGAAGAGCCGAGCCAGTGTATTGATGAGTACTGATGGCAGGTTCTTCAGGTGTTCAGGTCTGACCTTGTCTGGGCCGGGTGCTGTTTGTTTTTTTTACCGACGAAATGGCGTGTCAGATTTCGGAAGGGAGAACATTGGGAACGACATATCCATCCTGTGGAATTTGGTATGTCGGCAAGTGGACATGGCTATCGAAGAGATTTGAGTATAAGTCATGGATAATCTTCTCCATTGCCGTTCTGGAGGATGTGATGGATCCATCAGGACGTCGGAGGGCAGTCATCTTGGTCTTGTAGTTGGCGAAGGACAGGCGGGCGTTATGAATACTTTTCCCGGCTTCTGCCGCATCTACCAGTACTTCTGCTCTTCTCTCTTTGAGGTCTTCCTTGATCGCATCTCTGCACTGCTTTGCGAGCTCGGACGTTAGCTTGCGGTTGCCTGAGGCATGCGCCAAACCACGCTGGTGAATTAGCTCAAGAGTTTTCGAAGATAGGCGATTTTTTGTGGCTATCTCTCTCTTGGCGTTCCTCGCACATTCATGGAGGTGCTGAACCAGTCGATCGTATTCCTCGTCAATGTTGTCAACAATGGCATCTTCCCATGTTGCCGCAATAGTACCAAAGAGTTCCCAGTTGGTGGTCATTCTGGGAGTTCTCTTTTTGAACTTTGCAGACCTTTCTCCCCGCTCTGTGAAGTAGAATTTTGCACGAAGAATTACGCACCAACATCTCATTATGATGAAAGAGAAATCGAGAAGTTCTACATGGAGCTAGAGAAGTTCTATAAAGAAGACCACACCTTCTACAAGATCATTGTGGGTGATTTTAATGCCAAGATAGGACCGAGAAGATCAGATGAAGAACTTCACATCGGGACCCATGGCCTAGAATGAAACGAACAGGGTGAGAGACTGTCTGAGTTCATCATGTCGACCAAGACCATTCATGGTAACTCACAGTTCCAGAAGGCAGAATCTAAACGATGGACATGGGAGTCTCCCGGTGGACGATTCCACAACGAAATAGACCACATCATATTCAATCGACGGTTTTGCCTGACTGATTTCGCTGTTGTCCCAGCCTCATATATGAGTAAACATATTCCTGGACCGGGGCTGGAGCTATAGCACAGCAGGTAGGGCATTTGCCTTGCACACAGCCAACCCGAGTTTGATTCTCTGCATCCCATACGGTCCCCTGAGCACTGCCAGGAGTAATTCCTGAGTGTATGATCCAGGATTAACCCTGTGCATCGCCAGGTGTGACCC